ATGAATTTCATATAGATATTAATTAAATTTAGAAGATAATAATGTTTTGTAATGATTTAAAAATAGATTGTCTTGTCGGCATAATTTAAAACCCGTTTGCACATTTATTAGAGTGGATTGATTAGTTTATTCATCTTTTTCATAAATATTTAATTTATAATAAAATATATTAAATAAAATAAAGATATATAAATTAAATAGTCTCGACCCGTTGAAAATATATATTTTAATATAAAAATAAAAGTCATCTACCCGTGCGTTCGAACGGATCGCACAATGTCGTTATAAATAGTAAATAAATATAGTATAATAATGGTTAAGAAATATATATAAAAGATATATAAATTAAGTAGTCTCAGCCCGTTGGAAATTTATATTTTAGTAGAAAAATAAAGAAAATAATTAAGTAGTCATCTACCCGTGCGTTCGCACAGATTGCACAATATCGTTATAAATAATAAATAAATATAAATAAGTGATAATTAACAAATTTATATAAAAAATATAAATTAAGTAGTCTCGATCCGTCTAAAATATATATTTAATAAATAAATAAATGAAATAATAGAAAAACTAAATAATTAATCTATATTTTTGTTATAAAAAAATGTTGATAAATAAATTTATCTTTTTGTTATTATTCATTTTATTAATAATTAAATAATCTTAATAATTAATTCTAATATTGAAGCAACATAATAATAATTTATTTATTTATTTACTATTATTACTTATTAATATCAATGATTAATAATGGTTATAAATTAAATATTTAATTTTAAGATAAGTCATTTTTGTGTAATAGGTATATTGAATTAAAATTAAATATTTAGAGAAGAAATTTCAAAATAATAAAGCAAAGTATATTGAATTAATATATGTCATTACAAAATAAAATTATGTATTTTTCATTAAAAAATTGTGTATTTATTTATCATAATTATCTCATGTTTTTTATTAAAACATATATTTATAATACATTTTATTATAAATATTACTATCTTATATAAATTAAAAATTTAAGGCCTTAAAATTTCTAATAACATAATGTTATATAGAAACATTTATAGTTATAAATTAATATTAACATGTGAATTAAAGTAGAGATTACGTACGAACTACAAAAATATCTTAAAAATCTACAAACACATAAGAATACAATTAAACATATATTAACATTCCACTGATTAAAAATCTCAATTATTTTCCCATTTAATTCATCTAATTAAAATCATATATTTATTTTTTTAATGATTTACAATTCTTGTATTTCATTTTATATGTTATTTGTTTATTATATTTTGATTTTTAATTATAAAGAAATTGAAATAAACTTTAAAAAAAATCAAAATTATTAATTTTCTGTATAAATTTTATATTATGTGTATGTCATTAACTTTATAAATATTAAAATTTAAATATACAAAATTTAACCAAAAAAATAAGTTATACTCAATTGTGTAATAAATTTTATCACTTATTTTTACACATAAAAAGAAATCTAATTCTTTCTTATAAAAAGTTCTGTCCCATTATCCATCAATCATGTAAGAAATTAGTATAAAAAATATTGATAGATATGTAAAAAATTATTTTACTTTAATCAAATTTTAAATAATAATATTAATAATAGTTGATACGATTTTTTATCTAATAAAAAAATAGGCAGAAGTTTAGATTCTAAAAGTCCCTAAATTAAATGTTAATAATAGTAATATTAATATATTATTATTAAATAAAAAAAAAATAATAATAATAATAAATATTTATTATTAATATTGATTGCTTTTTTACTCACACTATTGTTATTAATAATATATTATTATTATTATCCCATTTTAAAAACATGTGACTCTTAAGTTTTCACATATTCACTTGTGGCACACACTTCAAATTATGAAGTCCTTAACTATCCTATTCTTAAATAGGATGTCTTGGATTGCAACTCTATAAAAAAAATAGAAAAGTGATCACAATAAACCGCTAACCTTAAATATTAAGAGGTGGAAAGAAACTAAGATCCGAAAATATTAATTCCTCTAGAATTTTATACTCCTAAACAAACAGATATCTTATCTAAATTACAACTTAAATCAAACTATTATGAGTTTTCTAACTCATGCAAACTATACTTGAAGATTTATAGTTTGTGTTTCCAAGAGACCCTCAAGTTTATCTTTGATACTATGGATATTTAAAAAAATCTTTGATTCTATTAAAATGTCAAGTTGATCATCTTATATAATCACTTACTATCAATTAAGTCTTTTGATAGTAATATCAAAAAATATATAATTTATGTTTTTTGAAATAATCAATGAGTTTTTTTGAAATATTCGTAATATCAGTGTATCTATTTGAGAGCATCATACATATAGGGAGGGGCTAATTTAACCCTTAGTCAATTTTTCTTATTAAGAGTGAAGAATGCAATAAATTCAAATATTTATGACCAATAACTAAGTGGGACTTACCTATTTTGTAGTACATCACTTCTATGTGGCTATAAATTGTAGAAGATCTAAATCAATAAAATTTTAATATCCTAATGAATTTTCATATTAGTTCTAATTTAATTTTTTATTCAGATTAAGGATGTAGCTTAAACTTTAATTAGAATATATTTTAGTTCTATGTTATACTTATTTCCCAACCATACAAACTAACCTATACTATACCACAACAATAGTAAAATATGATTAAACATGTGATTTTTCAAAAATATTTGATTGATACAATCAATACCATAGGCAATACTTAGATATTTCTAAATAATACAAAACTTAAATTTGATTATTAAAAAATATTTAATTTATTTTCTAATTACTTATAATATTTAATCAGTTGTGATTTGTTATAGTATAATTTTATTACACTAGTATATATATTACAAGTGAGAAAGAGAAAATAAAAAAGCAAAAAATGATTTAAAAAATAAAATTCTATTAACATCAGCTAAAAGAAGAGTGATGATTTTAATAAGAGGTTATGTAAAAGATCGGTATACCACATCCTTATCAAACTCATATTTTGCTAGATAATCAACAGAAACATTTCGCTCTATACACTATTATAAATAACGTTTTTTTTATCTCGGACGTGAAATGCCTTTGACTTCAGCTACGAAAACGACGTAACGAAAGGTGTCATGAAAAACTACCCCTTATCACCTCAATCATTTAAAAGTCGAGGGATTAAGTTATCTGCACATGGATTCGATCCTCAACATCAGCATTTTTATTATTTACACAAATGGATAGCGCACCTAATATTAACATTCGGTGTTTTGTAGAACCGAATAATAACTTATTACCTCGATTTTAAGTTCAAACTGAGGGGTTATTTTTTTGTACTGTTGTTTGTAACTTTATTACATAACCATATTAAAGAATACAAAATCATATTTTGCAGATTCCTGAAACAGAGACATTGTACATCAAATGCAAACCTAAAATATTGTACCACAGATATTCATTGATTACATCAAATACAAACTTAAAATGGCACACACTTTATAATTTTACATCAAAATTAAAATAAATGCTTAAGAAACAAAAGCAATAAACCATTTACTTACTAGTTTTCTCATATACCCTCTTCAAAAGCACGACGAATAGCATGCATATCATCTGAATCATTTTCTTCTGATGATTGATGTACATGGATTGCTAAACAAGACGTCTCATAGTTAAAATCTTGATTTTCATCAGTACTATCAGGAAGATGTTTTCCTTGAAAACAATTGACCAACTAGTGTCAGATGGATCAGTGACAAAAAAAACTTGTTTTGTTTGGTTTGCCATGATGAATGGTTCGTTCTTATAAGTTTCCTTTCGAAGATCAACCCGTGTGAATCCCAATTCATCAGTTTCTACATCAGTGTTACTGTCAATCCACTTGCACTTAAATAAAGGCACATTAAAAAAAACATAGTCAATGTCCAAAATCTCCTCAATGGCCCCAGAGTATCCTCTAGATGCTAGTACATGATTGCTATATTTAGAACTAGAAAAATACATGGATTCAGCCTCAATCATAACTCCACTATTTTCTATGGTGCTACGATCATCTTATGATTTTGTATAGAATAAATATCTACTAATTACATTAAACTTAGGCAAACGTGACAATCATTTGCAATTATTTGATGCACCACTACCTTTAGAAATACTTTCGTTAAACTAATCTATGAAAGTTTTGTTATGCTCTGTCAACAATCATTTTTCATTCATCCGGGAAAATTTTTCCTTTAAAATACTTTTGTGAGAGGTCAAGGCTCAATTTCACTAAAATTATTTAATATATACAAATGTGCTTGAAGAACTGCTTCTCGCCTTAATGTCTTAACATCTAAACCTTGAATACCTCTACCATCATAGAAGTTGACCTAATTTTGTGCGAAGGCCAACAAATAACAAGATGTGGTTTCAAAGTGACAGGTTTGGCCTTGGGACCTGAGTCCCTTTTGCCTGTTGTCTGACGCACTTCTGGGGTAAGTCCATTCTTATCAAATTATCATTTCTTGAAAACCGCGTCAAGTTGATTCGGTCCAAAAGCCTCCAACCAAAATTCTTTAATTTTTTTTTCACTCAACCATTTTCTTTTTTTTTAAAGTTCTTACCTCCCATTCCATCTACTCCAGACACACCCTTAGAGGTTAGTGTTAATTTTTGGCTAAGTTACACTAGAATATATAGTGTTAGTGCATAATTACCAACTATAGATAATACTATTTACTTATCCATTTTAACATAATACTCAATCGCTTGAAAGTAGAAATGTAGATAATGCGCATCAACTTGAATATACTAATTACAATTAAGTAATTAATTTCATTATTCATAAATAACACTAATTTTGAATCTTATGCTGAACTTTTGGTATAAATATAGACATGTATAACCATACTCTTGCACTCATCTCAAGCAAACATATATCTCTTCCTCAACAAAAAATATCAAAGAAATCAAAAGAGGAAGTGAGATTAATATATACATAAGATGGGTGAGTTAACATGTTGTGAGAAAGTTAATGCATGGTTGAGAAACTCAAAGGCTTATTTGCTTATAATAAGCTTGCAATTTGGTTCTGCTGGCATGTATGTTCTCACTATGGCTGCTCTTAATAAGGGAATGAGTCATTATGTTTTTGTGGTTTATCGTAATGTTATTGCCACTGTTGCTCTTGCTCCATTCGCATTTTTTCTCGAAAGGTATAAAATAATTCCCTTCATATTATATCAAACAAACTATCATTATTTATTATTATTATTATTATTTTGAGAACTAATTATTTGTGTATTTGCAATACTTTGTTCAGGAAAATTAGGCCAAAGATGACCGTGCGTATATTTTCAGAAATTATGGCACTGGGATTTGTCGAGTACTTAATTTTATCTTATTGCTTTTTTTAGGTTTTCAACTTACTAAGAGAGCTTTGGTTTAGTTGCCCTCTTTTTATTTTGTATTCTTTTTTTCTTCCTTATTATATATTTTATTCTATTTAAAAAAATCATATATATTAATTTTTTATTCATATATATATTTAATGTTTTTTTTTTAATGTTATAGGATAATACTCGATCAGTGTTTCACGTACTTGGGAATGAAGCTAACATCAGCATCCTTTGCATCTGCTGTTATGAATTCCGTACCTTCCATCACCTTCGTACTTGCAATCTTATTTAGGTAAGATATTCGTCTAAATTATATAATATATAGTACTATTATATAATAAGTAATTTTTTTTTTTAACGTTGTGTCCTTCAAGAATTCCACTCTCACACTCACGCATGCCATTATTTAGTGGACTTAGTTCATTTTCTATAAAAGAATAATTTGATTTTAATTTTATAAAATATTTGATGTACTTGATTGGAGAGATTAATTAATGAATATGAGATGTAAAAATTTATGTTTGAGCAGATTGGAGAGGATGAAACTCAGAGAGATAGGATGTCAAGCGAAAGTGATTGGTACAGTGGTGAGTCTTGGAGGTGCTTTTCTAATGGCATTATACAAAGGTCCTGTTCTTCAAATTACTGGCTCTTCAGCAGCAACACAGATGCACCAACCTGAAAATGTCAATGATCCCACCGGTTCACACTGGCTTCTTGGTGGAGTGTTCCTCCTCATTGGTTGTGCTGGCTTCTCTGCTTTCTACATTTTACAAGTAAGCTCACATGAATTCAGAGTATTACACTTCTGAATAAAGATGTGTCTAATCTTTAGTATGTATTAGTGTCTGACATATATATTAGTGTCTGATAACTCTTACGATTTTCAGGCCATAACATTAAAAAAGTATCCGGCAGAAATGTCTCTTGCCACGTGGGTTTGTTTTGTTGGTACACTTCAAAGCAGTGTAGTAACTATTTTCATAGAACGCCATAACCTTGAAGCATGGGCTTTGGGCCTCGACTCTAGACTCTTCGCTTCAGCATATGCGGTTCGTAAAAGGCCCAATAAGCCCATTTAAATCAAAGGCCCAAATACAATTTACAAAATTAAGCATATATATATATATATATATATTTATCATAAATTTGGTTTTGACATTTATTTTGTTCTAATGTATTTATACAGGGAATAGTAACTTCAGCATTTCAATTTTATGTGCAAGGTTCTGTAATTAAAACTATGGGACCTGTTTTCGTGACCGCTTTTAATCCTCTTCGAATGATCATAGTCACTGCCTTAGCTTGTATTCTACTCTCCGAAAAACTCCATCTCGGAAGGTACATTATAGTAACAAAAAAACATGTTCTTAAGTCCTAACACTCTTCTTAATTTAATACGAAATAAATAATCAATTATATGATTTTTTTTATGTATGTCGCAGCATTGTTGGAGGAGTGGTGGTGGTCATAGGACTATATCTTGTTGTATGGGGCAAATGGAAGGAACAAAAAAGTATCAAGTTAGAGGAAGAGTCCCCGCAAAAAATCTCCCAGCAAGGACAACAACAATTGCCGATTACAGACTCAAAAATTGACGATAATGTTAATACTAATAAAGCTCAATTGGTCACGAATGTAGATCCAACAAGTATGGAGAGACAATGATCACAACAAAATTAAGTGGTCACATTGTTGGATTGTTTGTGACACTGACTTAAGAAGTTCTTGTGCTGAATTATAAATGCCCTTTTGTATTTTTGACTTTGACAAAATAAATAAAAGAGAGACAGTGGTAAAGGTTATGTTCAAATATATGGCTAAATTATACCCATACGGTCAAAAGAACTACAATTATGTCCATTTAACTACTGCCTCTAAGAAAAAGATAATAGAGTTTAAAGAGAAAATACCATATCAATATTATTGTAATCAGAATACAAATGATGTCTTTAAAATCAATTTGTTATAACCATGTATAGTCTTGTAGTATGAGAGTTTATTCTCTCTACTGTTGTGATTTGTGAGGTTAAAATTTATATCTCTTTCTGCATATGTCTCTGATATGAACCGGTGCATTTGTGATTTGGTGATAGTATTCTTTTAAGTTGTTTGTTTGAATCTTGTCCATCTTGTTCTGGTTGTTTGTGATAGTGTTTGGTATTTGCAAGATATTGTGTGCAGGGGTTGTTTTAAGATGCCCTGACATGTTGGTACGACATCGTAGCTCAATATTTGTTTTATTTTTGTGTAGATTTGTTTTTAACTCAAGATCAATGAAGATTTGATGGAGATATGATTTGTGCAATCTACAGTTAATTTAACATGTAGTTCTCAAGACATCAAAGATCTAATCTGATGTGTTTTGTTTCTCAATATTGGATGTCATAACATTCAATGAAACATGATATTTTGCACTAGAATTTTCTGCTGAAGATTTGATTTGATTTGAATCACTCTTGTTTCGTTTTGATGCTTGAGTTGGACTGAGTTTTGAGTTGTAATTTGTGAATCACTCATGAGCTTTTAAACAAAAGTGGATTATGTTTAATTGGAAGTGTGTCTTATGTTTATTGTCATTGTTGTTATTATCACTATTGCATGATTGAGGGGAAGTGAGAGGGGTCTCATATCTAGGCGTTCTTAGATAGAAATAGCACAAGTAGTGATTAGGTGCGAAGTTTGTAAAACTAGATTTTGTTTAGAACTTCAAACTAATATTATTTGAATGGATTTCCTTCCAGGCTTGGATGTCCCAAATGTAAGTGACGTTACACTGAACTGGATTAACAATTGAAATGTGTTATTTACTTCTTGCAAGTTACTTTAAATTTTTCATTGTTCTATTTGATGTTACGATGTCTTAACAGTGCGCTCGACATTGTGTTTAACATACTGATGTTGTAACATCGTATACGACATTTATTTTGTTGTGCCAGAATTTCATTAACCATTTATGTTTGACTTATCATAAAACATTAATTGTCATTATAAAAATCAATGCCCTTATTTTAAAACATATCATCTACAAAAAAAAAATCTACATATCTTAGTTCTAATGTCTCTATTTCAATTTTTATTTTTATAAAGAGGGATACATGAGAAAAATGGAGGAATTCCTCTACTTTGGCCTTTTATAATGAAATGGCCAAAGGACACCCTTGCACCTAAGAACACTCCTCATTTACTATTGAATGTCATTAGGGCTAAATTAAACTTTTAATCCTTTCATTAGATGTTAATCAACCAACTAATTGGTAATGAGATGTTTATAGACTTATGGTATCAAACCAACTATCACTACAAGAAATATCATCTTCAGCCACGTGCTTTTGCCACGTGATTATCATGTGGATAAAAAAAGCCACTTGCGACGTGATAATCACGTGGCAACATGTTTTATTAATAAAATAAAGAAGCATGATGGTTGTCTGAGTTTTAAAAAAAAAGAAATATGTTGCGAGGTGGGAATCACGTCGCTAATAAAAATATAATATAAAATATTTTAATTGGTCTAACATTCAGATGGAGGGATTTTTGAAAATTTGAAAAAGTCAGTTGTGACGTGGTATTCACGTCGCAATATTTAAGAGGGAAAAGCAAATTAATTCAGACTGGCATGATCAGCTTTTGCAGGTATGTGAAGAAAGAAAATATGACTGTTGGCATTGTTGCGACGTGAAAGTCACGTGGCAAAGTTGCGGCGTGATTTTCACGTCGCTGAATGATTTATATATTTAATTAAATCATGTTACACCAAGCAGACATTAGTTCATTTTCATTAAACACTCTTCCTCTCCATTAACCATCTTCTTCTTCAAAAATCCCAATCTCCATTAACCCTCTTCTTGTTCAAAAATCCAACTCAATCTCCATTATATGTTAATGAAAAACGGTTTTATAATTAAAAAATATTATATAAAAACTATATTATATGTCAATAAAACATTAATATAGTATGTTAAAAAAACATTATATGTCAATAAAACATTATATATAGTATGTTATAAAACATTATATATAAAAAACTGGTTTATGTATTTAATTATTATATATTATATGTAAGTTAATAAAAACGGTTTTATAATTAAAAATTGTTTTATGAAAACTATATTATGTGTCAATAAAAAATATTATATTAATTATTATATATTTAATAAACTATATTAATAGTATATTTAATAGTATATAATTAAAAACATTAAATATTAAAAATAGTTAAAATAAAAGCATATGTTTACGTTTAATAGTATATATACATAGTATATTTTTAGTAGTAATAAGAACAAGAATAATATGTTTAGGATTATTATTAAGTTGATTAATTAATATTTCTAATTAAAAAGGTTTTGATTATATAAATTTGCAGTAAATGGAATATTATAGGTATTATCGTAGTTGGATGTACGATAGACTATATCCAGAAAGACGCGCACTTAAACCCAATTTTATAGACGGAGTTAATGGTTTTATCACGTGGACGTTTGCTCAGGAACATTGTCGAAGTGAAGGAGGAGTTAGGTGTCCTTGTCTTAAATGTGGATGTAGATATATATAATTAGTGACCCAGAGGAAATAACACGTCATTTGCATAGAAAAGGTTTCATTGAAAATTATTGGATTTGGACGTATAATGGTGAAACACTGCCGAGTAATGTACTAGAGATTAGCAACACAGATGCTTCAAGTAGTCGATCGGCTATGCAACCGCCTATGGAATTTGAGGAAAACTTTAATCTGATAGGTGACATGGTTGATGATGCTTTTGGTGTTAACTTGACCTATGATCAACCAGAAGATTTTGACGGGGAAGAGTTGCCGAATGAGGAAGCGCAAAGATTTTATCAATTGTTGAATGAGATGAATACACCGTTGTTTGAGGGGTCGTCAGACTCAAAGCTATTAATGTGTGTGAGATTATTGGACGCCAAGTCAAATTGGAATGCTCCTGGTCAGTGTTTGGAGCACTTCGCAAAAATGATGTTGGACTCAACTGCAACGAAAGACAACTTGCCTGCGAGTTTCTATGATGCCAAGAAGTTGGTTTCGAAGTTGGGTTTAAGAGTAAGAAAGATTGATTGTTGCATTAATGGTTGCATGTTGTTTTATGACAACGAGTTTGGTACTCAATATGGATCGTCGGAGGAATGTAAGTTTTATCAGAGTCCAAGATATAAAGTTTGCAATAGAGCCATTAACAGTAAGCAAAAACGTGTAGCAGTAAAGTCTATGTTTTATCTTCCGATAATACCAAGGTTAAAAAGAATGTTTTATTAAATGCACAGTGCAAGTTAAATGACATGGCATCATACAAACAAAACAAGCCCAGGAAATATGCGACACCCATCTGACGGCCATGCATGGAAGCACTTTGATGAGGTACATGCCTGACGGGTATTCTTCAAATTTAGCAAGGTGTGCCGATGCTAACACTAGGAAGTTGCATGGTATGAAAAGTCATGATTGCCATGTTTTTATGGAACAATTGCTACCAATTGCGTTCGGTTCTCTACCCAAACATGTGCTTAATCCACTCACTGAAATTAGTCAATTTTTTAGAGATATTTGTGCGTCATCTTTAAAAGGGGATGACATCATTAAGTTGGACCAAAATATTCCAGTCATTCTCTCTAAGTTGGAAAAAGTATTTCCGCCTGGTTTTTTTGATTCCATGGAACATCTACCTGTGCATCTTGCATATGAGGCTTATCTAGGAGGACCTGTTCAATATAGGTGGATGTATCCGTTTGAAAGGTTCATGGGTGATTCAAAGCGATCAGTGAAAAATAAATCTAGAGTTGAAGGATCAATATGTGCACATTACTTGCATCGAGAAACTTCACATTTTTGCAGTCACTATTTCAAGCACTTGATGTTAACTCCAAGAATCATAAGGAATCCTGTAAATGTTATCAAAAGAAGTCAGTACACCTTATCAGTCTTCGGGCTTCTAGGTCGCCCCTCTGGAAAGAAGGGTGAGCATTGGTTGACCCAACAAGAAATGCAATCTGCACATGTTCATGTCTTGATCAACTGCATTGAAGTTAAACCATATCTTGAGTAAGTATAATCCAAATTTTTAATTTTCTTTACAGTGTGAGTATAAAATTGATTACCTTGAAACTTATAGTGTGTTTCTTTTTAGGGAATTTAACAACGCCTATTTTGATAGTACCGGTGTACAATCAACATCCGGTGTCATTCATACCCAATTTCTAACATGGTTCAAGGAGAAATTGTATAGGATTGTTGCACCGACTCTAGAAATACTCCATTTGAGAAACTTGTCTAATGACCCTCTCAAAGCGCAAAAAAATGACACACATACTTCGTGAATGGATATAAATTTCACACTTATGAATGGACTGAAGGGAAAAAGACCATAAACAGTGGCGTATTTGTGAAAGGAGTTACAGATGGCGGTGAAGATGACTTCTATGATTTTGTTAAACATATCTACGAGTTAGTATACAATTACTTGGACTCGGAAAATAAAATTGTCTTGTTTTATTGTGAATGATATGTGTAATGCCCCATTTTATTTAATATTATATTATATTAATATTTTTGAATTACCGTTTGACGTTTATTTTTGCGTCGAGAATATTTAAATTAACCGTTATATCTGTTAATATATTCGGCGACGTTTTATTCGGACCGGTAATTAT